TCAAGTCTTCTGAAACCCATTTCTTTTTTGCAACACAAAATTAGTTATTTATAGCAGAATGTCCTTCTGCTCTCTTCCATATAATGATAGTAAATTGTGGCCACAGCTGTTTCTTACACAAAGTTATTGTATATGGCTTCAGAAGACTTGAAATATAGCACACAAGTTGTATGGACCACTTTTATGATGCTTTGACAGCACCTGGACACCATTCACTTTCAAAGTATGGAAGAAAGCAGCTCTGATATTTTGCTTTGGTGTTACATGGAAAAAAGAAAGACATACAGATTTGGAACACCTTGAGATTGAGTAAATAGTGACAGAATTTTGATTTTGGGGTGAATTAAGATAACAACAGCACGTTTTCACTTTTTATGGTGCAGGTTAGTTTTTGTTTAATACTGGATGAGTCATCCGACTCATCCGACCCCGCTTTCTTTTTCTCTTATATTACAACATATTAATGTGGTAATAAATTATGTCTTAAAGTTTAGGCATTCGATATTTAGTTTGTGAAAGGACACTGCGGGATGTCATCTACCCTGTTGTTTTTCTAAACCTGAAGAATATAATTTCCCTGTCAAATCCTGAGCTTTTAAAAGCAGCTAATTCAGAGCTTTGTAGATCAATATCAGTAATACTGTAAGATAATGTGAAGGTTCCCGCTGCAGCAAAAGACTTACAATAATCAGCTTTTCCTTTGTGCGGAGCTGCTGTATTCTGCACATTTTGTCAAAGGGGTTGACAGTCTAATTGAAGCAGATTGTGGTAATCAAGTAAAGGAATGACTTTTGGCATTATGGAACATTAAGAGATATCTGATTTGCTCCAGAAATTATTGATCCACGATAAGAATAGTTCATAATTGGTGCTTTTTGCACTGTTGAGTTGCCTTTACAAGTCATCGTTCTCCACGGTAAAGAACTCAAATGAGCCTTGGACATGATAAATGGCATTGCTTTCGAGAACTGTAAATGCGATCTGCATGAGATAGCTAAAACTATGGAAGCTTGTTTCTGCCAGAGGATTAAAAAAAAAAATTTGACTTTTATCTGCCAGTTTGGATTTCTTTTTTTTATAATTCTGAGGAAAAAAAGAATTGTGAGGTGTAAACTTGCCATTTTAAGAAAAGAGAAAAGTCGAAATTGTGAGATATAAACTCTCAATTGCGAGACAAAAGTCAGAATCGTGAGATAAAATGTTGCAGTTGCCTTTTTTATGGAGGAATAAATAAATGAATAAATAAATAGAATTGCGAGATGTGAACTCAGAATTATGTGAAAAAATTCTGTCCAAATTCTGAGTTTATATCTCACAATTCTGATTTTCTTTTCTAAGAGTTTATAGCATGCAATTCTGACTTTTTTTCTGAGTTTATGAGGATTAAAAAATTTTTTTTTGACTTTTATCTGCCAGTTTGGATTTCTTTTTTTTATAATTCTGAGGAAAAAAAGAATTGTGAGGTGTAAACTTGCCATTTTAAGAAAAGAGAAAAGTCGAAATTGTGAGATATAAACTCTCAATTGCGAGACAAAAGTCAGAATCGTGAGATAAAATGTTGCAGTTGCCTTTTTTATGGAGGAATAAATAAATGAATAAATAAATAGAATTGCGAGATGTGAACTCAGAATTATGTGAAAAAATTCTGTCCAAATTCTGAGTTTATATCTCACAATTCTGATTTTCTTTTCTAAGAGTTTATAGCATGCAATTCTGACTTTTTTCTGAGTTTATATTTTGCAGTTCTTAGAAAAATGCTCAGAATTGTAAGAAAAACGTCCGAATTGTCAGAAACAAGCTTTCATTTGAAGTAGCTGATTGATGATATTGTATTTCAGCAAATTTGTAAAAAGAAAATGCAAATAATGTGAAAACATACTGTTAATCATTATTATTTATTTGTGTTTTATTATATTTATAGTCTATTTTAAATCTATTTTTAGTTCTTTGGAACGGATTTAATCTTCAGTGCTTGGTCTTAAACATTGCTGTTTACTCTTCTGTCATAGCAAAACCGTGTGAGTGTGTGTTATTGCGATTATATGCATGACATGGTGCAGTCAGGCTTGAAACAAATCTGAGCCATGCTACTGTGATCATGCAGTCAGCTGAAGTGTAGGCTGACCAATAGGAACAATGAACTGAAACTACCCATTTCATGATGATTATGCGATGGTGGCGAAAACAACTGGAAGCTTAAAATCAATTATGCATGAAAATGCTGTCATCCACGCTGACTCTGGAAAGCTTGTGATTCACCACCCAGTGCTTTTTGTGCACAAGGAAATATCAAAATAATACTTACTCTTTCTTAACGATTCCATGGCTGTTCTGAAAGGCTTTAAAGAGATCGTTTGCCAAAATATGACACTTCTGCCAAATCATTATGAGTTGTTTTCTTGCATGGAAGCAGAATGTCCAAGCAGCTAGTTTCCAGTGAAAGTGAATGGAGACCAAGGACCGTCTTTGCTAGATAACTCCTTTTGTGCCCCATGCGAAGAAGAGAAAAGATGACAAGAGTTTTCATTATAGGCTTGAACTCTCGCTTTAATATCATCAGGGCCCCTAGATAAGAATTACGCTTTTGTAATCAATCTCAAACTCAAGCAAGCCGAGAGGGTATAGCGCACAGAGATCTGAATCAAAGCAATTGGAGAATATTAGAGTGGGGGAAAACACAAGCTTTTAATGTGATATGAAAGCTAAATGTTCTTTGTACTGATTGATTTTTAATGTTCCCAACTCCCGACATTTCCTTCACTCGCTTTACAAATACAACAGTGACTTTCTGGCATTATAGTCTTTTTTGGCTGCTCTAAGTGAGGCAACACCACAAAGAGGACTTTTATATGACAAAAGTACTTATTTTTTATTTATTTATTTGGTAACACTTCATTTTAGGGTTTCTTAACTAGTTGCTTATTACTAGAATATTAGCCATTTATTAGTACTAACTAAGCACATAGGCCTATTAATGCCTTAAGCCCCGTTCACACCAAGAACGATAACTATAAAGATAACAATATTAGCGTCCACACCAGCGAACGATATCGTCTGTTTATTCTAAGCGCACATGCGTCTGCCGCTTTAAATTCTTGAGCTCGTTACAGCAGGATGGATTCTGATTGGCTGTCAGTGATTTGTCTTTCATCAGCTGGAAAAAAAAACGTTTGGAAAGTGATCACAACGATATCGTTCCTCTGTATCGTTAGCGTTATAGTTGTGGTGTGAACTATGCTATTCTTTAATATTGAGAACGATTTTTAGAACTATATCTTTATCGTTATCTTTATAGTTATCGTGCTTGGTGTGAACAGGCCTTTATTCTACATGACCTTATTCTACATCCCTAATCCTACCCAATACCTAAATTTAACAACTATTAATAAGCAGCAAATCAAGAATTTATTGAGGGAAAAGTCATAGTTAATAGTGAATAAGTGTTCCCTATTCTAAAGTGTTACCATTTATTTTTTGTATGTGTGTTCTGGGTTCTTGATCTTACAATTGCTTGTTTGCAATTTAGTATTGCCGAACCCTGTGTTAAATGTTTTAGAAATGAATGGGAATAATAGAGGAATTTCTATCAGGTTCTTTAGCTTTCTGATCAATTTTTCACCCTACTCAGTCATTGTGTTTGTAAAGCTTGCCTGATCTACACCCTCGGTCTCTCAGAAGTAATCTTCTTTTGAATGCCAGCTGACCATTAATCTGTATGTACCCTCAAACCATTCTCAGGTTTTCCTGGGGCTTTTTTGCTCATAGTCTCTTTGTATTTAACCGTCCTTATATCAAATGGCACAACAGAGTGAATACGTCCGATTGATCACAGTAGACTTTATTCTTATTTGCCAGTAGCAACTTAAATCACTTATACTCTCTATGAATTTAGGGATGTAACGATTACCGGTTTGACGATAAATCATGATAAAATTCCCCATGGTTAGTATTACCGTTTCACCTTTTAATTATCATTAAAACCGTATTAGATTACCGCGATTTGAACAACTCGCGATAAATAAATACTATCCAGCATAAAGCACAGTTTTAAGTAACAGTCTCACGTGCGCACAGCCCGCAGGATAGTTTAGTTTTGAGTGAAAACAGGGCGGAAAAGCTGGGAGGTTTTAAAAGAGTGCTAAGGGAATTATACAAATGAATATATGAATGAATGAATTATATGAATGTACCTCTGAAGGGTCTGACTGTCTTCAGAAACGATTCGATGGCATTTTGTTTTCATATTCGCTCCGTGTAATACCTAAAGGAAGTGTTCTTAATCGCAATACTGCTTTGTCCACGGAAGTTGCGGAAACAGCTCTAATTCAGCTTTTCCATAAGCGCCACCTGCTGTCAGTGAGTGGATTTACAGAGACTTATATTTACATTCAGCCTGTGTGCAGTTTCTGTCTGGCCAAAAACGGACCGAATTTGCATGCCCTGCTGTCAATTTTGACCGGTTGATGAAAAACAAGCTTATGTGGATTCTACACATTTAAACAATTCAGATAAGTTATCTAGAATTATTTATGGAGCAGATAAAATACATATAATCATTTATTAATCAATGATCATTTTGACATATCTTTTCTTTATTTAAAGGCTGAAATGTGAGGTTTACCTTTTTATGAAAATTTTTCAAAGCTTTATTTGAACATTTACATGAGATATTTGTCATTTAAAATCTGAACATCATTGGTTATGTTATTGTTTTAGTGATTATGCAAACAAAAAGTCATTTTATTTGTTGTTTGTTGATTTTTAAATATAAAACTTTTTAACATCTCCAGCACATTTAAATAATACCGTGATAATACTGATAACCATGATAATTTTGGTCACTATAATCGTGATAAGAAATTTTCATACAGTTACATCCCTATGCCATTATGTAGCTGTAAAGCTACATTTCTTAAGGTATTAAATGACTAGGATTCGTTTGAAATTAGGTTTCTTTGTTTGAACTGGACAGTACTGACAGTGTTCTCTCTCATTTACAGATGAAAGAGAAGATGTTCAAAAGAAAACCTTCACAAAATGGATAAACTCACAGTTTGCTAAGGTAAGAATACTTGAGTGTTGTTTTTTTTTATCCTGTTGAGGTAACACTGAATCACCTTTGATGGGATAGTTCATTCAAAAGCTGAAAATCTTGTCATCATTTATATACTCATCCTCATGTTGTTCCAAACTTGTAGGAGCTTCTTTCTTCTGCTGAACACAAAAGAAGATTTTTGAAGAATGCGTGTAACCAAACAGCCATTGACTTTATAGTATTTTTTTTCTGTACTGTAGAAGTCATTGGCTACCACCAAATGTTTGGTTACCAAGATTCTTCAAAATAGCTTCAACTTAAATAATTTGAGGTTAAGTAAATGATGACAGAATTTTCATTTTTTTGGTGAACTATCTGTTTAATGGCTGATAAAAAAAAAAAAATCGTAATTATGCAAAATCTGTTTTGATTAACCAACTTAGACAATCTTTAAATTGCGATTTTCAGATAAATCTTCATGGATTTCTGTTGTTGCATCCTGGAATAGCATGTTATAGGTGTATAAACTGAAATGTTTTTATTCATCCTCCTACTACAAGGTGGGCGGATGAGGAGATGTAGACAGGCTTGATATCAAGGTTAAAAGTTGCCATTGACTTTATAGTATTTTTTTTCTGTACTGTATAAGTCATTGGCTACCACCAAATGTTTGGTTACCAAGATTCTTCAAAATAGCTTCAACTTAAATAATTTGAGGTTAAGTAAATGATGACAGAATTTTCATTTTTTGGTGAACTATCTGTTTAATGGCTGATAAAAAATAAAAATCGTAATTATGCAAAATCTGTTTTGATTAACCAACTTAGACAATCTTTAAATTGCGATTTTCAGATAAATCTTCATGGATTTCTGTTGTTGCATCCTGGAATAGCATGTTATAGGTGTATAAACTGAAATGTTTTTATTCATCCTCCTACTACAAGGTGGGCGGATGAGGAGATGTAGACAGGCTTGATATCAAGGTTAAAAGTTAAGATTCACACTTGCACATAGTCTTGATCTTGAGGTTAAAAGTTAAGATTCATCCTTGCACAAAGTCTTGTCACTAACATTCATCTATGTCAGGTTGAGAGTTTGAATGCTTGAATATTTGCTTTAGATTTGTTTGACGTGCCACGCTTCAAGGTAAAGCATTTCAAAATAGAGGTTTTTGCGTTCTCTTTGTAAATCTTTTAGCGTCCTTTTTACAGTATGTTAACAGAGGAAGGACTTCGGTTCTTTGTCCTTCAAACTGAGAGAGAAGTGTTTGCTGCAAAGCATAGCTGTGAGGGAAAAAGCTTAGAGAATGTCTACTTTTTCTACTCAAAAATAAATAAATATATAAATAAAATAAAAAAATAAAATAAAACTAAAGGTGTCATCTTGTCATTCTCATTTATTTTTGATGATATACACCCTCAAATACTCCACTTTAAAATACTGGGCACACTTCATAGACAGTTTAGTGCTGTGAATAAATGCCTAAATAAAGACCCGCAGCTTTCTTGTTCGACAAGTTCTGTTTATTCTCCAGACAAGAAGACCCCCTATCGATGACCTCTTCACTGATCTGTGTGATGGCCGACGTCTTCTTGAACTCCTGGAGGGTCTCGTTGGCCATGAACTAGTGGGTCCATCTTTACATTTCAACAAAATAAGCTCTTAAAGGAATAATTCACCCCAAAAGGACACTTCTCACCATAATTTACTCATGAATACAAAATAAGTTTTGAGGATAGTCATCATAGTACTCTTTTCCATACATTTACAATGAATGTGGAATAAGGATTTCAAGCTTCATAACGGTTGAAAAATCATCAGAAAGATATCAAAAGTCGGTCAGTGCATCTCACTCAATACATTTCAAAACTAATGAAGTCAAACAATAGTTTTGAGTAAGAAACAAAACAAAAATGAAAGTCATTAATGAAAGTTTAACATTTGCACGAATGTAATTATCATTGGCATGTTCATGGGAGAAAAAGTGATGTCAGATTCATAATTATGATTCTCCTAAGTTGGCTCTTTTAAAAGCGAACTGCTTTTTAAATAATTTTACTATTTTGCATCTTTAAATGTACCTCATCCAATATTCATTATGAATCATTATTTTAAGTTTAAGATTCTTATTTTAAGGCATTATTTTAAGATTTAAGATTATGTCTTTCTCTTTTGAAAGAACAAAAAAAAACTTACATTTTTAAAATATTAAAAATTAGTAACTATATACAGTGCTCGAACTATACCGTGGACTTTGGGGAAGCCAAAGAAAGTGGTTTGTGCGCGTGCCTCAAAAGAGGGCTTACAATGACTTACAAAGAGACATAACAGCTACAAGTGTATGCACTACTTGCTTTATGCAAGCACTATATAGGATATACAGTGGGGCAAAAAAGTATTTAGTCAGCCACCAATTGTGCAAGTTCTCCATTGTTCTATTTTTATCAAGGAAAAATACTCCTGGTTTCAAAGCGTTTGGACAAGGCTGAGTGCATAAATGGCTGAATTAATTTGCAATGGATGCTCAGAGTTGAGTTTTGATACAGTATATTCTTCATTTGCAGGTTAAAGAACGTGGTTTCACTCGAGTGCACTCCCTCAACAATGTTAACAGGGCCCTGCAGATCCTTCAGAAGAACAATGTGAGTTATTTGGTTCAACCGGCTGTTTTACTATTCACAGCTTTTGGAAGTTTCGGTTGAGCTTTTTAAAAAAAAAATTCAAGACAAAAATTATGCAGAAGCTAAATTTACAGTTGGATAAGGTAATGGCACTTATCCATTTCAAAGACATAAAAGATTTTCTGCTTGATAAAATGTAGTGAAACTACTAGACAGCTTGAATACGTGTTTGAAGAACTAAATAAGAGCCAAGAATGATTGCAAATTATAATGTCTGGTTGAAGTAATTTTCCTGCAAATATCAAACTGTTGATATCTAAAACTGATGTGGCTGAAATATCTAATCCTTATCTTGTTTAAAGTCAACATAAAATCAAAACTGACCCTGTTTACTGTCTTAATACATATTCCTGGTCGCATTATGAGCAACGAAGGTTCTTACATTCCCATCCGCTCCATTTCTAGGTTGAGTTGGTGAACATTGGAGGAGCTGACATTGTAGATGGGAATCATAAACTGACCCTGGGGCTCATCTGGAGCATCATTCTCCACTGGCAGGTATGAGAGTTCAATACAGTGGAATCAGACCTTCAATCTTTCTGGTTTGCCTTCAAGGGCAGTAGCGCACTAAAGGATCTTTATCATCCATTATGTTGTTCTGTCAAAGGTTTTATATGTAGCACATTTGCAGTGGACTGACATGTGCTTATCTGTACAGGAACTCGTTTCCTCTGTGTTTTTTTTCTGTTCATCTGATAAGGTGGCCCTACTGTGGTTTATGTTCAGAGCATCTTATGTTGGAGGTGGTTACAGGAATAAGGGCATTTAAGACTCAGTAATGTTTTGGCATTGAGACTAGTTTGAAAAAATACTGATTACCATATTCATCTACCATGGAATTTACATTTTACTTCTAAGTATTTCAGAGATTACCTTGGTGTTATAATGGTACATGTAAAAAATAAAAAGGGTAATACCATGGTGATATTTGTCATACAGTACTGTTCAAAGTGTTTTAAAATTAAGTATTAATTTAAAATTAAAGTAATCCATGAATAAATTAACATTTGGTAACACTTTAGAATAGGGAAAACATATTCACTATTAACTAAGAGTTTTCCCTGAACAAACTCCTAATTTGCTGCTTATTAATAGTAAGTTAGTTGTTACGTTTAGGTACGGGTAGATTAAGGGATCTAAAATACGGTCATGCAGAATAAGGCATTAATATGTGCTTTATAAGAAGTAATAAACAGCCAATATGATAGTAATATGCATGCTAATAAGCAACTAATTAATAGCGAGAATTGGTCCTTAAAATAAAGTGTTACCCAACATTTTTATTCAGCAAATATGCATTACATTGAACAAAAGTGACCATTTATAATGTTGCATATATTTCTATTTAAAATAAATGCGGTTCTTCTGAACTTTCTATTTACCAAAGAATCCTGAAAAAAATATATTAAGTCGTAAAACTGTTTTAAACAACCTTAATGATAAGAAATGTTTCTTGAGCACCAAATCAGCATATTAGAATGATTTTTGAAGGATCATGTGACACTGAAGACTGGAGTAATGATGCTGAAAATTCAGCTTTGCCATCACAGGAATAAAATACATTTTAAAATATATTTCGAATATGAAACAGTTATTTTAAATAGTAGTAATATTTCTTATAATAATGTTACTATTTTTATTGTATTTCTGATCAAATAAATGCAACCTTGGTGAGGCTTCTTTCAAAAATCTCACAGACCCCAAACATTGTACCGGTAGTATATTACCACATTTTTGTACTTAGTATTTACTCTTAAGCATTTTAAAGAATTCCATGGTATTACCATGGTACACATCCAACCAGGATATTACCATTGAACAGATATGTACTATGATATGTACCATGGTACTGACTGATATATACCGCATTCATTTAATATGAATGGTATTACCAAGGTACAAGCGTTATCACATATTTGTGTTGTTCTTATCTGGTTAATAAAATTGTAATCATAAAGTCTGCCTCTAAATGTTACCTTTATGAGGTCATGTTGCTATGTTTGTCACTGTTCTGATAAATATGTATATATCCTCTCCTTTACCATACAGGTTAAGGATGTGATGAAAGATGTCATGGCAGACCTACAGCAGACAAACAGTGAAAAGATTCTAATTAATAGCGAGAATTGGTCCTTAAAATAAAGTGTTACCCAACATTTTTATTCAGCAAATATGCATTACATTGAACAAAAGTGACCATTTATAATGTTGCATATATTTCTATTTAAAATAAATGCGGTTCTTCTGAACTTTCTATTTACCAAAGAATCCTGAAAAAAATATATTAAGTCGTAAAACTGTTTTAAACAACCTTAATGATAAGAAATGTTTCTTGAGCAGCAAATCAGCATATTAGAATGATTTTTGAAGGATCATGTGACACTGAAGACTGGAGTAATGATGCTGAAAATTCAGCTTTGCCATCACAGGAATAAAATACATTTTAAAATATATTTCGAATATGAAACAGTTATTTTAAATAGTAGTAATATTTCTTATAATAATGTTACTATTTTTATTGTATTTCTGATCAAATAAATGCAACCTTGGTGAGGCTTCTTTCAAAAATCTCACAGACCCCAAACATTGTACCGGTAGTATATTACCACATTTTTGTACTTAGTATTTACTCTTAAGCATTTTAAAGAATTCCATGGTATTACCATGGTACACATCCAACCAGGATATTACCATTGAACAGATATGTACTATGATATGTACCATGGTACTGACTGATATATACCGCATTCATTTAATATGAATGGTATTACCAAGGTACAAGCGTTATCACATATTTGTGTTGTTCTTATCTGGTTAATAAAATTGTAATCATAAAGTCTGCCTCTAAATGTTACCTTTATGAGGTCATGTTGCTATGTTTGTCACTGTTCTGATAAATATGTATATATCCTCTCCTTTACCATACAGGTTAAGGATGTGATGAAAGATGTCATGGCAGACCTACAGCAGACAAACAGTGAAAAGATTCTGTTAAGTTGGGTCAGGCAGTCCACTAAAAACTACAAAGACATCAGTGTGGTCAACTTCTCCAGCAGCTGGGCCAATGGTTTTGCCTTCAATGCTCTCATTCACAGCCACAGGTGTGTGGGGTTGTTATTTTTGGGTGCTTTTTTGAAAATCGCAGAAATCATTGGTTTCACGACTAATGAAATTGAAAATTAATGTTTTATATTCAGTGGTCATAAACTGCATGGTTGAATACTGGCTTGGCCTAAAGCAATTTTTGAAGCTGATTATGGCTTATTGTTTTTCTATTTTTCTGTGTAGTTCATTTGGGTAATGAACCAGCTGTTTCGATCTGCTTTTAGCTATTTCAAGCATGTGCACAGAAAAATAATTTAAGTTATTAAATATCCTATATTAATTACATCATCTGCTTTGTCTTTTTTTGCCAGGCCAGAGCTGTTTAACTGGAGTGTGGTAGAGCAACAGGATAATGCCATTGAGAGACTGGATCACGCCTTCAACGTTGCGGAGAAGAGTTTAGGCATCGACCGACTGTTGGACCCTGAGGGTATGACCTCCTCTTTTCTTCTTCTTGTTCACGATAGCCTTTGAAGTTTTTCTGAGTATTACAGACAGGGCTTTTTTACTTTAATTTTTTTTCTTTCTTTTTTTTTTTTGGATGGAAGGAAACGTCTTGTTACATCAACATCTAAAACAGAATTTCATCATATAATTTATGCCAGAAGGGATTAATTCATAGATGAGCTTGTATCACTTATGACTTGTTCTGTATGGACAGATCCCAAGGAAAGGAAAGTTCTAATAAGATCTAATATAAAGTATATGCATGATGTTTCTTTCCAATGGATAAGTGCATAGAGAACATGTATAGTTTATATAATGAAATGATAGTTATATTCCCCCCCCCACACCCCATTTAAGAAGCACAACTGTTTTCAACATTGATAATAATAAGAAATGTTTCCTGTGCACCAAATCAGCACATTAGAATGATTTCTGAAAGCTCATATGACACTGAATATTGGAGTAATGATGCTGAAAATTCAGCTTTGCCATCACAGAAATAAATTACATTTTAAAACAATAAAATAGGAAACAGTTTTTTTATTCAAATAATATTTCACAATATTGCTGTTTTTGTTATGTATTATTTATATATTATCTATGTATTTTGTATTGAATAAATGCTTTGTAAGCATAATAGACTTCTTTCAAAACATCAAAAAAATCATACAAATCCAAAACTTAGTAGTACACATACAACATTCTACAAAGCAATGTTTGCAGCGATCATCTGCTTCTCACATTTGTCTATTGTGAAAAAGACTCTAATAATCTCACATATGTCTCCTCTAGGAGTTAGCTTAATTAAGTCAATTAAGTCATTGCTTAACTCATGGGCATATCTTTTCTCCTTCGCAGATGTTGCTATAGCTCATCCAGATAAGAAATCCATCATCATGTACATCACCTCTCTGTTCCAAGTGCTGCCCCATGGCGTGAGCATGGAGGCCATCCAAGAGGTAGAGACACTCCCTCGAGCTAAAGTAGCCAAGGAGGAGCACGTCCTCTTTCAAACCCAACAGCGGTACTCCCAGCAGGTCAGAGGAACACACACACACACACACACATAGACAAGCACAGTTTTGAACGGTGTGCAGTAATCATAATGCATAGACCCATTATCTCTGGCGCCACATATGTCTGATATGAAAGCCTGAGACTTCTTTGGTTTTCAGACGTTCTCAGGATGCCAATTGCACCTCTAACTTCTCAACACACTTTGCCAGCTGACATTGAATTATGTTTTGTAATTTGTGATCTAATTTTGCCCATTTGCATTCCAACGTCTTCTTCGTCCTTCTCACTGCCATATCCAGCTCATCACTCTACTCTCCTCAGTATTTCCATCCATCTCTGTGGCTTTTGTTTTGCTTTTTACAGTCTTTCTTGTCTTCGGTACTTCTTTTAGATCACAGTCAGTGTGGCCCAGAGTCGTGTTCGCAGCCCATCTCCCTCCTATAAGCCTCGATTCAAAAGCTATGCCTTCACTCAAGCTGCCTACGTCAAGACGCCTGAACAGCAGAGGAAGTTCCTCACCACACAGGTTGGTTTTTGTTGACTGCTGGTTCTTCCACATCATTGCCAGGAGTTGTAGTTTGCTTCTACTGTACAACAACCTCTTATCTTTTCTCCTTCGCAGATGTTGCTATAGCTCATCCAGATAAGAAATCCATCATCATGTACATCACCTCTCTGTTCCAAGTGCTGCCCCATGGCGTGAGCATGGAGGCCATCCAAGAGGTAGAGACACTCCCTCGAGCTAAAGTAGCCAAGGAGGAGCACGTCCTCTTTCAAACCCAACAGCGGTACTCCCAGCAGGTCAGAGGAACACACACACACACACACATAGACAAGCACAGTTTTGAACGGTGTGCAGTAATCATAATGCATAGACCCATTATCTCTGGCGCCACATATGTCTGATATGAAAGCCTGAGACTTCTTTGGTTTCAAAAAGGTTTTCAGACGTTCTCAGGATGCCAATTGCACCTCTAACTTCTCAACACACTTTGCCAGCTGACATTGAATTATGTTTTGTAATTTGTGATCTAATTTTGCCCATTTGCATTCCAACGTCTTCTTCGTCCTTCTCACTGCCATATCCAGCTCATCACTCTACTCTCCTCAGTATTTCCATCCATCTCTGTGGCTTTTGTTTTGCTTTTTACAGTCTTTCTTGTCTTCGGTACTTCTTTTAGATCACAGTCAGTGTGGCCCAGAGTCGTGTTCGCAGCCCATCTCCCTCCTATAAGCCTCGATTCAAAAGCTATGCCTTCACTCAAGCTGCCTACGTCAAGACACCTGAACAGCAGAGGAAGTTCCTCACCACACAGGTTGGTTTTTGTTGACTGCTGGTTCTTCCACATCATTGCCAGGAGTTGTAGTTTGCTTCTACTGTACAACAACCTCTGACTGATATCAGTGGTGTCACACTTCACTTGCTAAAGCTTGTTCCAACTAATTGATTGTATTGGCCTGGCAGACAACAATATTGACAAAATGCCATAGATTTGCAATGAGGAAAGGACCTGAGGAATATTTCAGAGACTTGGGGTAAGCTTTTTGGATTTTAAAGGAACACTCCACTATTTTTGAAAATAGGCTCATTTTCCAACTCCCCTAGAGTTAAACAGTTGAGTTTTACTTAACTCCGGTTCTGGCGGTAGCACTTTTAGCTGTAGCTTAGCATAGATCATTGAATCTGATTAGACCGTTAACATCTCACTCAAAAATGACCAAAGAGTTTCTATATTTTTCCTATTTAAAACTGGACTCTTCTGTAGTTACATCGTGTACTAAGAAGTTCACGATGTAACTACAAAGTTCCTTGATTATTACTCTCATTTACTCAATGAGAGTATAGTTCCTAGCCATATTAGCCTAGAAAATCGCAACTTTTCATTTTCCGTCGGTCTTAGTACACGAAGTAACTACAGAAGAGTCACGTTTTAAATAGGAAAAATATAGAAACTCTTTGGTCATTTTTGAGCGAGATGCTAACGGTCTAATCAGATTCAATGATCTATGCTAAGCTACAGCTAAAAGTGCTACCACCAGACCCGGAGATCGGCTGAATGGATTTGAAAACTTTAACATTAAAATGAAGACGGAAAAGGTCATTAAAATTGTATGTAATTACTATAATCGTATATAAATAACACTGGTGTAAAATGCAAGGGAGTTATGGGTGGCTGCCAAAGCCTTGCTATGTGGTTGTGAAAGTCTTCTGAGTGTTTTTTAACATATTGTTGTGGGTAGTTTCTAGGTGGTTAGTCACTCTAAAGATATTTTGTTCCCCAAGATATGACTCAAGTCTCTTCTTTACCGTCAGTCTATGGGATTTGTATAAAGGTTGCTTAGAAAAATAATTGCATACCTCATCTCAATAAGCTGTGTACTTAGAATTTGTATTGTCCACTGTGCAAATGGTATGACAAATTATGCACCGAATTTGAATACTCATGGTTAGGAATTTGAAGAAATATGAGCAACACCACGAGCACCACTAATAAACCTAGTGCTAAATCATAACTCAACACCAAGAGGCCCCTCACAATCTTCAAATTCAATCTGAAACCACCCTGATATTATCAGCCAGCCAGTGCATTACACTCAAACACATGCGAGGACAGAGGGTATTTCCCAAAGCAGGAAAAGAAAATGAGAAGGCTAACTTTAAAGATCACCCAGATTTTGAGGATGAAACAGCCAATACTCCAAGGGATTTAGTGACGCACGTGTGTGTACCCATGATTAGCCAACCACTCCTGCCTCCTCATTGCCAATATGCTCTTTAGGCAGGTCTTAATTTGATACAAAAAACTCAGGTAACACTTGAGACACATAACTAGTTGCTTACTAACATTCATATGACTAGCATATTGGCTGTTTATTAGTACTTATAAAGCACATGCCTTATACTGCATGACCTAATTTTAGATCCCTTAATAAACCCAATACCTAAACTTAACAACTACCTTACTAACTATTAATAAGCAGCAAATTATGAGTTTATTGAGGAAAATGTCATAGTAAATAGTTCGTTAATAGTGAGAATTGATCCCCAAACTAAAGTGTGACCAAAATGTAATATTTGTATTATTTTTAAATCCATACCATCATCTAATCCATTTGTCTCCCATCTATCTGCCTGCAGTCTCCAGACAAGCCCGATGAACTGCGACCATCCCCCAGTCCCCTGCCACAGGGGCTAAATGAGCTGGAAAGCTACCAGAGTGCCCTGGAGGAGGTCCTGACCTGGCTGCTCTCTGCGGAGGACGGCTTGCAAGCACAGCCACCCATCTCCTCTTTTGTCGAAGAAGTCAAAGAGCAGTTTCACACCCATGAGGTAATTTGCCAGTTTGTCTTCTGAAGCTTTTGAGGTGAAAGTAGATGAGTGTGTTGATGATTCTGCTGGCCACAGGTGATATTTTTCTCAGTTGGTGATGTATTGTTTGAAAAATTTGGCTTTAACTTTCAATTTTTAATGTCACTAGTACACTAGAACAATGATTAAAGTTTGATTTGTTTACTTACTAGAATATCTACAGTAACTGGATTTTGGTTGAATGTTGAAAAGTCGGAATGAAATGAATATTCACTGTTTTCTAATTAGTTATTGATCTTATTGTGAATAATGTTTTTTTTTTTTTTACCTTGTAATTTTTATTCAAAATGTCATATCTTGATCCTATGTGATACAATAGACTTCTCTCTGGTGACGTATATCGGACTTCTCCAGTTATTTAGTCTACTTAAACCCCTCCCCTTTCTTAAAATCAACTGCAAGCGCCATACAATCAGCAATCGATGGATACCAAGACCCCGACCTACATTTATTACTTTCGAAACAATAATTTGTTTCACTTGGATGTATGCTACAAGAAGGAATAAAAAGATCTGTCGTTAATTTCGTTATATTCCAGCTTTAATGTCTTTAATGCTGCTTTCAGATGTTGGAAGGATCATTTTTAAAGATATGGGCACATGAACATAAACACAGGTTTGCACAATTTTGCAAACTAAACTAGGCCTCCAAATTTCCATGTGTGAATTAAAGTAATCATAGAGGAAGCACTATGGCTGAACTAGCTATAATTAATTGTGAATGTTGACTGTACAGTTTAGTTTGGAGATTTAGTGTTTATCATCTTGTGTCAGTGACCCCAAATTATCACATAATAATGCAGGTCTTCTGCTGACTTGATAAATAGAGTAATAAAGTAGTTTTGTTTCTGCATTTAAAACCTACCGTCTTTATCGGTAGGGGAAAAAGAGAGAATGAAACATGACATAGGCACCTTTGTTCTAAACAAAGTAACACCAAAATCACTTAAATCCACATCATGTCTCAATTAAAATGTCAGAGCTTATAATTAGGATCTTTCCAGAAGGACTAGTGCACAGCTGTCATGTTAGGCTACTAGTTCAGAGCAAAAATTTGGAGGACTACACCCAAAAACAGTTTATGAATATTCAAAGACAATGATGTCATGTCCTATGTCTTTTTAGCATCAGCAGACAATAGAGATTGCCTCTAGAGGTGAAGATGATCCAGGAATCGCTATTAAAGCTAGCTGTATTTGTTGTGATTTCATGAGCTTTAGCTGCCATATGACAGCTTTGGATTTCCACATAAGCTCAGATTGTCTTATGTCATGACCTTTGCCCAAAGTTGAAGGCCATGCAGAAAAATATAAGTTCAGACTGTCCTTTTACAGCTTTTGTTGAGCCATTAGGGCTGTCAACTTGATTAATCACGATTAATCACAACCAAAATAAAAGTTTATGTTTACATAATATATGCGTGTGTACTGTGTATATATATTTATATATATATATTTCTTAAATATGTATGTATGTGTATTTATCTATGCATATAAATATATACAGTACACACACATATATTATGTGAACATAAACTTTTATTTTGGTTGCAATTAATTGCGATTAATCGATTTGACAGCCCTAAGATAAGATTATTCCAAGTAACAATTACACATTAGTTTTGACTAATTAAACAAATAAATAAAAATTTTGCCCAAATTACAGTGTTCTTCTTAATACATTTTTCATGTTGCTCTAAAAATAACTCATAACTACCCATGCATTCAGACTTTGTCTATAAAGTTGAATTTAAGTCTGTATTGTCCCAGATATGCTCTTCAGCTGACACGTCTATATACGCTTATTCAGTGTCTGAAATCTGGCCGATGTAAGACTGATGTTTTACACTTGTGTGAAACATAGAGGAACGGCTCTAAATTCAGACAGGTGATTAATTTCTTCAAACTAACTTTGAACCCAAAGGGTGAAGGATGCTGTTTGAAAGTTTTGGGTCTAAGATATGTTGTTCAAGAAGTTGTGGGCTGTTACTATTAACCCAGATCTTCGTAAGCCCCCAGTGTTTACAGTCTCTGAATAAATCCGATTTCTCCATTCCTGACAGATGGTAATTATGAGTGTTTTCTCAGTTTCATATTCCAACATCTTTTAGAATGGTTGGTCTGGGAGTCGAAGGATCAAACTGTGCCTTTCGTGGGTGTGAATTGAAAAGTTATCTGGGGATATTAAATGACTGAGAGAATGGCATGATATATTGAGTGAAACAACTCATTGAGAGAAGGTGTTAAGGATGAAAACAGATTTACAGAGAGATTTATTTTTTAGATGCCAGTGCAAAGAAACTTAGTGCAGACAAGCATATTATTGCTTTGCACATTTTTGTTTGCTGATAGATCTGCTGTGTTGGAATCATGCAGTTTTTGTAAGTTTTATGTCATGTAGTCAATGTTTAAGGCCATTTACAGTGTACATGAACTGTTTTATATACAGTACATGGATCATTTTTTAAATTTTTAAACTACTGTTCCATAGTTTGGGGTAATTGAAATTTTGAAAGAATGTTTTTGAAAGAAGTCTCTTATGCTCTTAAATATTGTTACAATTTAAAAAATATTATTGAATATTAAATATTATTAAAGTATTTCAATATATTTCAAAATGTAATTTATTCCTGTGATGGCAAAGCTGAATTTTCAGAAGCCATTACTCCAGCTTTAAAAAAAACAACATTTCTTATTATCAATATTAAAAACAGTTGGTATGTAAAATGTAAAAACTGATAATTCTTTTTTTTGATCAAAAGAATGTTAAAAACAGAACAGCATTTATTTGAAAAGGAATAATTTTGTAACAATCTTAAAGACTTTCCTGTCACTTTTGATCAATTTACTGAATTCTTGCTTAAAAAAAATATCTTACTGATATACGTACGTATATCATATATTTGTCTGGCATTTTGAATACATTTTTAAATATACTGTATACACACCACTGTTCCAAAGTTTGGAGTCATTGGGATTTTATATATGTATAAAAAATGTATAAAGATATATAATTTAATACAAATATTTTATATATTGAATGTTACAATTTGCATAGCAAAAATTGTGGCTTGGTTGCTTGCAAACTTCTTTAATTGTTGACAGTCGAACTTTTTATTTTATTATTATTATTATTTATTATTTTGTAATAAAATAATTATTAAATCTCCGTATTTAATGTCCATCAAAGGCAATGGCAAATGTGTACATTTAAATGTCTTACCATTGTTTGTGTTTGTGTCCAGGGCTACATGGTGGAGTTAACGTCTCATCAGGGCAGTGTGGGCCGTGTTCTCAAAGCAGGAAGTGTGTTGTTGTCTGGAGGGCAGCTGACTGATGATGAAGAGAGGGAGGTGCGGGAACAGATGAATCTGCTCAACTCTCGCTGGGAACATCTGCGTGTGGCCAGTATGGAGAGACAGAGCAGGTGGTCACATGTTTGCATGATAAGCCTTTAGCCAGGAATATAAACCTGTCACTCTTTACAGAAAGACCTTTGCTATTTACAACCTTCGTATAATTGATGTTTTGGAACATTTCAAGGCTTCATAAAGTTTTGATGGACCTGCAGCACCAGCAACTGAAGCAGCTCTCTGATTGGCTGGACATAACCGAAACGCGGATTAAAAGAATGGGAGCACAGCCCTTAGGACCTGAACTTGATGACATAAAGCGTCAAATTGAAGAGCAAAAAGTATGTACTGTAAATTGTTGGTGTTTTTTGTTGGTTTTTTTTTTATAAACAAAAAAACAAGCAAGTAAAGACATAATTGTCCCTACAGCTCTTACAGGAAAATCTGGAGCTGGAGCAAGTGCGAGTGAACTCTCTGACTCACATGGTGGTGGTAGTAGATGAGAACAGTGGTGATGGCGCCACCGCAGCCTTGGAGGAAAAACTGCAGGTAAATGTTGTCATTGATTTACCCAAGCAGGACAGAGTTAGGATTAATATTCTATAATAAATCTGGCTGCAAGAGCTCCGGTGGAGGACAGTGACTGGACCTAAACCTTCAGATGACACATAGTTCATATTTGCATCTCTGTAAAACCACATATGAAAAAACGCAAGATATATATGCGCAGCTAGACACGCGTAAGTGCAGTGCAGTCTAATGTGATTATTAACAAGTAATAACAATTAGTTATCCAGTATGGTTTCGTTCACACAGCAGGGCTTCTCTGAAATTACGGTTATGCTGAAAATGTATGGGTGTGAGTTTGGTTATAGAGTACAGTTGTCAATCCTGTAAATAACCAAAATGTTTGTGAATGCAACTACATTAATTACTCAAATGCAGGACTGAAAACCGTATTCTGCAGTGTGAATGTGGCCTTTGTAACCATAACCACAGCCCTGAGGTCTGATTGGATATTTGGACTAAATAACTGTGGTATAATGTTTTGTCTTCTTGAATTGGTTTTCCATAACACCCCCATGCTACTTACACAGAATCTTGGGGAACGATGGGCAGCAATCTGCAAATGGACTGAAGAGCATTGGATCCTCCTTCAAAAGATCCTGCTGTGCTGGCAGCATTTCTCTGAGGAACAGGTACTGAATCCTTCCAGACTGTGCTGAAAGAGCTTTTACAATGCATTTAGCAGCTCTCAAAACGTCTTTTGAATCCTGCCTGTTAAATGACTATAATGAGAGCATGTCTGGGGAAACATAAAGGTTTAGAAGACCTTTTCTCAAGAGAGTCAGCGTGATAACATCACCAGTGCTCAAAAGAAACAGGAAAAGCAGCAGTGCAGAACACATCTCACAATCTTCCTTTAATCCACTGTGCTTTTTTTATAGCTGCTGTTTGATTCTTGGCTGACTCAGAAGGAGGAGTTAGTTCAGTCCATTCAAAGCAGCGGCACAAATGACCCGAATGAAGTAGCCGCCAACCTCAGGAAGCTCGCTGTAAGTGGCACACATAATCCAAACTCACTGAAGCATTAAAGTCAACCCTACTTTGCATGATTAACAATCAAGTCCTGATGGATACAATCAAGTGTTTCGATTTTTTTTTCTTGTTGAATATGCTGCATGACATGTAAAATTTTCATGAAATTTTCAGAAGTAAAATGGGTTTCAAAAGGCCGTTTCGTATTGAAATCCTTCGTAATGGGTTTGAAATAAGGCCTTTTTACTAATGCAACAATTAAAGTTAGATGTTATATAGTTGTGTTTTTCAAGGTTTTCAAGACTGACTTTAAAAGTACAGTGTACCCCAAAATTTTTATTCTGTCATCATTTACTCCCCCCTCATATCGTTCCAAACTTGTATGACTTTCTTTTTTTGGTGAAACACAAAAGAGGATATGTTGGTAACCAAATGGTTTCAGGTCCCATTTACTTCCATAGTATGGACCAAAAAATATATATATAATGGAGGTCAATGGGAAACGAAACTGTTTGGTTACCAATATTCTTCAAAATATCTTCTTTTGTGTTTCATAGAAGAATTTGGAATGACAATGATGACAGAATTTCATTTTGGGCCGGACTATACCTTTATGAATGAATTTCAGAACTTAAAGATGTCGGCTGAATTTTGTTCCTCAGATTTTAAAAGCAGACCTGGAGTTGAAAAGGCAAACCATGGACAAGCTTTGCTCCCTCGTTCAAGATCTGCTGGCCAACATTAAGAGCAAAGAGACTGCTGGGAAACTAGAGGCAAAGCTGGAGAGGTTTGCTCAGCGCTGGGACAAATTGGTACAGTCGCTTCAGCTCACCAGCACCAAGGTGGTTATACTAATGCAATTCCATTTACTGTGTCTCATCTTTTCCGCAATACTGTTCCATCTATTTCTATTTCTCTCAGAATTTGATATGGCTTCCTGCATGGCCGTGCCATCACTCAGAATAAATAAAGCACTCACTGTATCTCACTCTCTCTCTTCATATGCACACAAGAATCAGACTTCTATACATTTACACTTGCCTGTCTAACAACTTTTGTCTCTCTTAGTTTTCAACTATTGTCACCACATCCCAGTCGGAGCTCACGCATACAACCATGGCAACTGTCACCAAGGTGACCACAAACCAGAAAAAGATGGTGAAGCATACTAAGGAGGGCATGTCTACCCCTCCACCTCAGAAGAAGCGACAGATTGTTGCTGATTCAGAACTGCGGAAAAGGTGAGCTTACGTACCTCGGTTTTGTCACAGGTCACTAAATGTAGACCCATTTATGACAACCAAGCTTTGCTTTATGTTAGTTTTTTTGTGAGCTTATTTTTTTTTTATTATTAATCACATTGATAGTTCAATATGTTTTATCTAGAATAACACTATTTCAAGATTGTTGAAATAGATTGTAAAACTGATTGTTAGAAAATAACACGCTAATCAGTTTTTTTATGTTTATGCTTTAAAAGACAACATTAAAGTACACCCCCCCCCCCCCCCACCGCCCCCGTGTTGATGTATATCCAACTGAAACAGAAAGTTGTGAGGGAATATACTGAAGGGCTTGTGTATTCTTTTTAAATAGCCAATAAGATTTAATTGCATCACAGCCATGAACATGATTTGCTACCTTGTTATCTGCCGGTAAGAATTAGGGGATATTAGGGGAAGGGACATTCTCATTCTATAGCAGGGCTGTACAGTGCGACACATATGTGCGGTACAGTTTTGCATATTCATATCACAGCTGCTTAATAGTGTGAAGTGATTTCGTTGTGCTTGTTTGTGTGTGTGAGATTGATTATACTTGGTAGTTAGGGGTGTGCGATATGACGATTTTTGATCGTGGACAATTAAAATGTCTCCACGATCTGCTTTTGAAGACAGCGCACATTCTATCAGCTGCAGTTCTGGCGCCTCCCTCCGTCTCAATATAATGTACAATGCCATAAGCCACATGCATTCACATCACTGTTAGCTCAGAGTTACTCTCACGGGACACTGCACTTATGCGCAATCACAAAACTACATTATTTCCATCTGCTTTAAAGCAATACTGGTTAAACTTTTAATTCACGTGCTGTTCTGCATGCGCTTTTACTGAGCACGTACTCATGAAGCGCGCTCACACTGAGAGCCTGTCAAAAAGCACCTGATTATTGGACTAAGTTGTATTACGCGTCTGATTGATTTTGCGTCTAATACTGTGAAAAACACACAAGGTTTACATATAAACACAGTTGGTTATGTCTAAAATGAAAGTAAAAAGTTGAGAGAGAAACGTGTGCAGCTCTTAAAGGGACAGTAGTTACTAAACATGCTGCCGACTGTCATTAAAGGGATAGTTCACCCAAAAAATTAAAGGGGGTCATATGATGCGATTTCAATTTTTCCTTTCTCTTTGGAGTGTTACAAGCTCTTGGTGCATAAAGAAGATCTGTAAAGTTGCAAAGACTAAAGTCTCAAATCCAACGAGATTTTCTTTATAAAATTTAAGAGTCGGCCACACCTACCTAAAACGGCTCGTTCTAACACGCCCCCAGATATCTACCTCACTATATGGGAAGATTTGCATAACGCCGCCCAAATGTTCACTCAAAGAAAGAAGGCGGAACTTTTATTCTCACTGTAGTATTGTTGCCGCTTTCCGCCATGTCCTGCAGACACTGTGTGCTTCGTTGTGAAAGCGAAACTACTTTGTTTGGTCTTAGTTTGGTCTTCCAAAAGAGGACGATATCCGCTTCGTCATGCCTAGAGCTGATCCATGCTGGTCGCTGAGGGAATACATCAACTTAGTGCTGTGGATCGCCGGATCGGCTTTCACCATGTACGAAGCCCGGGGTCGTCACATGTGCTTGCTGCTCCTTCGTCGGATCCGCCGGCTGCGCCGTTCTCAACCCCGCCACCTCTGCTCACTCTAGCCTGGCCTCAGCTCACGCTAAGCCGGGGCTTCCGCTAGGCCGCTGTGTTTTTTTTCGTTGTGAAAGAGAAACTACTTTGTTTGGTCTTCCAAAAGAGGACACGACTACAAATCAGTGGTTAAGTTGTATTTACAAAACTGTTCCAGAACAGTTTAACCCAAATATCCAGATGTGTGCAGCACATTTTATGGAGGACTGTTTACTGATCCTGGGAGAGTGACATTAGACTAAAATGCCAGCAGTTCTGACTCACAAAAGTGCGTTTTCATTTAAAGGATTTGCCACTGATGATTCAAACGCAAGTTTTGGGCAGTGTGGAGTAGCACTTGTTGTTTGTCATTTCTCTGATCACAAATGCAGACAGGGTTTTATGTTTACGTGGCATGATGCAATGCAAGGTCCACACTGACTTTTACAGTAGGAAAAAAATACCACGGAAGTCACTGTGGACCAGCAACTGCTTGGTTGCCCACTTTTATTTTAAACAGATGAAATAAACTAATTCAGGTATAAAACAACTTGAGTAAATGATGGTATAAAAATGAAACACTATGACAGAATTGAAAGACAGATGACAGAATTTACAGTTTTGGTGAACATTAGCATTAACTTTTAATGTTAATAAAACAACAAAACAGAAAAAATCTGCTCACTGCTCTTGACTGATGAACTTATCATCAGTCAGTTGCTTTTAAACAAGTATAATTGATTAATATAGTGTATATAGTGTTTTATTTTAATATTTGTTCATTCAATTTTTTGAATGCTACTGCTAAATGCTGTACCTGAAAAATAAAGCACTATTTGTTTTATTTGTATATTATGTGTACTTGTAATGTATATCTTTGTTCTTATTTTGTAATAACAAAGATAAAATAATGATAAAAAAACATTTTTTCTCAGCCAATGTAAGTCTATGGGACATTTTTTATTTTTAATAATTAATTAGGAAAACTGTAAGTCTGATCAGTCTGAAAAGATACAGCAACAAACTAGACATCAGGGCCCAGGTCTCATGCCGAGTTTGGGGCTTGTGGCTTTATAGGAAAATACAGAAAATTTAGTCTCAGAAGAAAAAAAGTTTAAATAGCGTAACAATATGTTGGCTTGACAAAGCCAAAGCGGGCTCGGTGAATGGAGTTTAACACAAATAACATAAAACAGAAGAGCGCCCTCAAGTGACCAGTCCAGGTCACCACAACAAAACACTGTGACACAATGTTACTTCTAAATACTGTACCTGAAAAATTAAGCACTGTTTGTTTTATTTGTATATTATGTGTATTTGTAATGTATATCATTGTTCGTATTTTCTAATAACAAAGATAAAATAATGACAAAGATTTTTATCTTTGCTCACTTTGGCCTAAATGTCTGCCATTCTTTTTTATTTTATATTTTTTTAAGGTGTAAGAGGTGTTATGTTTCTGCACTCTTCCATTTTTAGCAAATTAAGAAAACTTTATCTAAAAACAATTTTTATGATGATTTGTATTTTTTGTGCTCTGTATGGAACATCAGTGCCTGTTTAAGTGATGAACTCCATTACTTGTGTTTGTTTTCAGACATGATAACAGACGTTTTATACTTGTGCTACAACTGTTTGGCCTGTGCTACAAAACTTTCAACCTCTGTAGCACCAGTGCTATGTGAAAACAAAAGTTAACGTACAGCTCTGTATAGAGTATTTAATTGGACATAATGAGTGAGTTTGTTTAGTATGAATCATTAATTTATGCATTTTTATCCCTGCAAAAATGTAATGTATATATTTGCTAAAAGTTAATTTGATCAAATTTTAAAAGCACAATAGCTAGTATATAGATCTCCAATTTTAAAGAAACACATTTCAAAATAATAAATATTTATCCATCTATCCATCCATTTTCCAAACCGCTTGTCCTGCATAGGGTTGTGGAATAAACATCTAGACATTTTTAAATGTTGAATTTATGTAATACTTTAAGTAATAATTTTATAGGACTAGATTTAGGGTTCAATAATAGCTAAAATAATCAAACTTACAAACAGGTCTTACTGCATATGTTTATTGACATAAACAGTGTTTTAAAGCATGATTTGCACAACGCAATCTATTGATCGCTTTGTAATATGAGTGAAGAATGTCTGATACTAGACAACAAATTATATCACTTTCAAGTTCATTTATCTAAAAAATATGATGAAGATAGGTTCTCTGAAAACAAGTCCTAATATCTGTAGGGGAAATTATCGTTTTTTTTTTTATTCTTTACTTCTTAAAGGGGAATTTATGTTGTGTTAAGATTTTTACATATTTTTGCTATAAAATGAGATACTGATGAGGAATTTTTTTTTTTTTGTGCTAAAAAAATGCTAATCAATGCCTAAGTCTCAACAATATTCAAGTGACTAACAAACAAACAAGAATAACTAATTTGTTTTGCTGTTTTCTCATCAATTTCCCTGCAGATTTGATGTGGACTTCACTGAAATTCACAGTTTTATGACCCGGTCAGAGGCTGTTTTGCAAAATCCAGAGTTCTCAATCTCCCGTAAGGAGGGCAGTGTGGCAGAACTGTATGAGAAAGTGCTGGTAGGGCTACATTAGCATGTTCTGTAGTGATTTACCTGATTCATACAACAAATGAATGTGTAGTGAAAATATATTAGATTGCAAAATGTATTATATTACATTAGAAAGTAGAAATATAATGTTTTAATATATGTATTTATTATTATATAATATTATACAGTATTTCTAATATGTGTTATACTGTATATCAGAAATATATTTAAATTGTTATATTTAAATTATGTAAAGTGTAATAGTTATATATTAAAGTATATGTAAATGCAATTATTAAATCACGTAATGCAATACCTATTAAAAATGTTTCATTGGTGTTTACTGTGTGATTTTTTTCAACCATTTTTGAGGCAATTGACAGGGAAAAATCTGAAAAGTTCAGGAAGTTACAGGAAGCCACTCGTTCAGCCCAGGCTTTGGTGGATCAACTCACTAGCGGTAAATACATTTGAAGTGATTATTTTCATATGCATGTTAATTTCAGTTCAAATGTCTTGTAAACGCCCCTTGATTTTCAATCAGTCTTGCATAATTCAAAACTTGCCCTTGTTGTCTTGTAAAAAACACACGAATATCCCCCATCTTATTTGGAGCATACTAATCTGCATTTTGCTGCTAATTAAAGTAATAGAATCCTGCATAATGTCATCTTTATTAATAATAGATAGAGATGTACATCGATGAGACGTTTCCCAGCTATTTTGAAAGTCTAAAGCCTTTGCCGGCTTAATTGCCTCAGCAAATGCTGTTTCAATATGCATGAGTCTCATTTGTCCTAATGGATCTTTCTCTAAAGATGGTCAGAATTCCGAGGACATCCAGCAAGCAGCTCAGCAGTTACGTGCTCGATGGGTTGACTTCTGCGCTCTCCTGGCCGAAAGGCTGGCGTGGTTGGCCTACCAGACCAAAGTCCTGGCCTTCTACAATCTCTTCCAGCAACTTGAGCAAGCTGTGGTGGTTGCCGAGAACTGGCTCAAGGTGCAGTCGCCGCCCGCATGCGAGCCGGAGCCTCTGAGGATTCAGCTTGAGCGCTGCAGGGTAACCACCAGTGTCTGTCCTCGTGCATGGGGTCTTGTTCCTTTGTAGATTTGTGTTTCAATGTATGTCTGTTCTGTGTCCATATACAGGGCAAAGTCATTCTTTTCCTCTGTCTGGCCAGGTAATAATGCCCTTTACCCACTGCATGTGTTCATCTGATCTCAGGCAAAAAAAAACAAAAAAACATAGGATGCATTTATGCAGGACATTTTATCATGTCCGACAAAAGACAAATAACCTTCAATTTTTTTTCTTGATCTTTTGAGATAAAAGAGCTTGATTTACTTGGAAAACATACTATAACTTTCAGAACTTCCTCCACAATTATGTCTGCATGTCCTTCCAAAGGTTCCCAAAATTAGAAATGAACAGCTGGTTATTTTTTTAGTATATTTTTAACAAGGTCCCTGAAGTTTAGATTGGCACAAGAAAAATAATATTAAAAAAAATAAATTAATAAAAAAAATGACCCAATTTATGGGATGGTTCACCCAAAAATGAACCAGAAAATTTACTCTTCAAATGTACTTAGATTTGGAGATATTTAACATTATATCACTTGCTCACCAATGGATCCTCTGCAGTGAATGGGTACCGTCAGAATGAGAGTCCACACAGCTGGTAAAAACTTCACAATAATCCACAAATAATCCACACAACTCCAGTCCAGCAGTTAACATCTTGTGAGGTTAAAAACGTTGCATGTTTGTAGGAAACAAATCTATTATTAAGGCGTTGTAACTTTAAACCGTCACTTCTGGCCAAAATACATAATCCATAATCAATAATAATGCTTCCTCCAGTCAAAAAGTGCATCTCCTGCTCTCATTTTCACTTTTAACCTGTGCTTGATCTGTGCATATCTCTCTCCTGATTCAGACAAGGTGACATTTTGGTAGAGGCAATATTATGGATAGTGAACTTGTGTTTTAGCTGTAAGCAATGGTTTGTTAATAACACCGTAATAATGGATTTGTTTCTTACAAACACATAGCTTTTTCACTTCAAAAGACATTAACTGATGGTTTGGAGTCGTGTGGATTACTTGTGGATTATTGTGATGTTTAGATCAGCTGTTTGGACTCTCATTCTGACGGTACCCAGTCACTGCAGAGGATCCATTGGTGAGTACATTAAAACATTGTACATGAGTACATTTTCAGCAAAATTTATTTTTTGGGTGAAAATAATATTAACTACATTTTAACAAATAAATATTATATTTTCTAATATAGTTGTCTCTTTTCTTTTTGCTTTACATTTTACAGGTTTACAAAACAGAATGCAATAATTCTATCTTTCATGTCAAAAGATCAAGGAAAATCAATTTCTCATAAAACAACCCCTTTGACGGGGACTCTGGCTGGCAGTTAGATTTTTATGTAATTTAGCTATGATGGTGGTACTTATATTGGATGATTTAATTGAAAAAGGAACACATTTCCACTGTCTGATGGATGTGGACTATGTTCAGTGGGGTAGACGTGGCCTGTTAGATTAATGAATATGATATAACAAGCAGAGAGACAAGTTGTGTGATTAAAAAAGTTTTGAGTGATCAAGGCTCTGCAGGTTTAAAGTCTCTCTTTGTTCATCTGTTCTTACCTCTTTCATCCTTGAGTATATCTGTACCTGACAGCTTCCTATATGAGTCTTTCTTGCTTCTGTCTCTTTGCCAGATCCTTGTTTCTGTAATGTCTTTCAGAAGAGACATGTCTCCCTAAAGACCTTGAGTGTCTGTGATCGTTTTATCATTTGATGAGATTAAACCATTCCTTATTTTACTGTGCCCCAGGTTTAATCATTTGCTATTTCACACACGCATATATAAAGACGCTAAACCTCCATATACCTATATAAGCATAAACATATTAATGAATTAGTTATCAATAAAAAAAATAAAACATCAATGTATATCAATATTTGCAGAGAAAATAGTAATTATGATATAAAATATACATATATATATATGATATATTTTCTCTGCAAATGTAGTTATATACAACAATCAAAAAATCTCTCTCCCTCTTTCTCAATTATATATTAAAAAAGTTTTGTTATTTCATGTTCACGTAACTGAGAATTTCAAATGGCAGCAGACAGCAATAATGTTATTTGTATAAGTTACAACGTTACTATTTTTATTGGATCAATAAAAATACATTTTTATTACAGTTATTTTATTGCCAATTGGAATTTATATACACCATATCATAAATAAGCTCTATAAAGCTCTTTATTAAAGGACAGAAGGTGCAATGAAAGAGTTGTGGAAAGTAAACTCAAAGCTAAAGATGGGATTTAATGAAGTTTTTATTGAATTTGTGAAGTCTGTAAAAACATTTGCCTCGCAACAAAACAATATTTGTTGCATTTGAATCAATATAGACATTTTGAAGTTATGAGTCAGGTTATAAGTGCTAAATATTCATGTTTATTCCCACTCCAGGTGACGAGGGTGGACAGCAAAAAAGATGGGGCCATTTTCCTGCCAGTATTTGTGCTATTATGCGACTTAGCTTGAATCGTTACAAGACCAATTCTTTATTATCTTTCACAGGATGAGATTGCTCGCCTCTCCATTCTCCAGCCACAAGTGGACAAGCTGCATGAACAACTTCAGGAGCTGCAGCAGAAAGAAGAGACGCCTGTTCTCTTTGATGCTGACATCTCTGCCTTCCAAGAGCACTACCACCATGTCCTCGAGGACCTGAGGGCCAGGGAAAGACAGCTTGTCTTGGGTGAGGGATGTCTAGCGCTATGCTATTTGGGTTAACGTTGAGGGAGTTTAAAAGTGGATCACTCACATACTGTACTATGACAGCACTTGTACATAGGATTCAGACTGCAGTGTGGTCTGGTTTGATCACGGTAGCCTCTGAGCTGGCAGCATTTTCATAAATCTTTCAAATCAACGGGCATCTCTCTCCTGTTATGCTACACAAGTGTTTATTAACTAATTCTTAAAACATAAACTATACTAATACCAATGTGTATCCACCATATTTTCTTTATTCATATTTTCTGTTCTATGCTGTTTGTGTTGGAAAATCATCAGAATTATGTGATTGCAAACGGAGCTGACAGTAATTCACTATGAATAGTAGCTGAAACATTATTTAATAATTATTAAATTGTGATTGGTAATTAATTAATCAATAATTTTAATTAAAAAGTAACATTTATTCAATAGTGAATTATTTGTGAAAAACAAACATAGGGAGTGGGGCATTTGTTGAGCTTTGTGAATGATGGGCATTTGAGTTCTGTGGAAAGCTGCAGGACTGCTAGCAGGTGTTGTAGGAGATTGTGTTCAGACATGTTTTCTTTTCTTTTCTCTCCTGTTAGTCCAGTCTAGTCTTCCACCAGCACGTTATAAGGATGTGATGGCAGCGCTGCTGGCCTGGCTGCAGCAGTGTGAGAATAAACTAGCCATCCCCTCCACAGCAGTGACTGAGTACCCTGTCATGGAGCAGAGGCTCAAAGACATCAAGGTATGGGATTTTAAAGGGATAACAAGAAACCCTTGTTATTATCGAAACCCTTAAGTGAACTGCAGCCAGGAACTTATTGCTTGTGCTCGTGTAACATACAAGAGACCGGACGCAATTCATGGGCCTGATATACTCTCTGCAAAGTTATTTTTTGTTCTTTGCTTAAAAGTCAAAAGAAGTTGGAAATACCTTTACAGCAATACTGTTAATGAACAGCCAGACACTGTCCACGCTGATGTGAGCCACATTTAGTTTAATATGTAAATATGTGCTGCACACTTTCCTAGGACAACTTGGGAAGATGGGGAAGGTCTAATTTTTTTTAAGTTTTGTTACAAGTTGCTCACACCTTGGCAATAAAAAAGTGATTAACACATGAACATTCTTACATGCAGTCCCTTTAACACAGTGACCAAAAAGCTTCAAACTCATTTTAAAAGCTTTGTATAGCTCTATGTAGTGGTGCAAAACAAACTGTCACCTTGGAATTATAAGGTTCCATCTGCATTCTGAGCAGTTTCGAGATATTGAGCTTCAAAGTTTTTGCATTCCATATAGTGATATGGAGAAAAAGTTTCTTTCATACATCAGTCCCAAAATGTATGCTACTTAAAAAAACCCATCACATGATGTAAATAAGTTGTGACAGAATAAGAATACGGCAGATAGAACCTTATAATTGTTGACGATATATATATATATATATATATACAATTTTATATAATATACATATAATATGTGACCCTGGACCACAAAATCAGTCTTAAGTGTCAATTTTTCAAAATTTAGATTTATACATCATCCGAAAGCTGAATAAATAAGCTTTCCATAGTAAGAAATGGTTATAAAAAACTGAAACAGAAGTGAAACAAGTAATAAATAAAGAAAAGAAATAAAAAGCGATACTTATCCTTCGCCGGTGTCCTGCCCGGTGGAGTCGCACGGTAGAGTCGATGGTCTTTACACTCTTCGTTCTGCACACGACCGCAGCCGCGACCGCTTCCACGGTAAACTAAGCTTTTTTTTTTTTCGTTTAACCAAACTCAAATTGAATTCAGCTGGACACACTTTCCTGTTTATCACAACAAATGGCCAAGCAAAGCGCACGACACTGACAAGGTACGCGATACAGTACGAGACCAAACTCAAATCTATATACAGTATATAAATCTATAAATATTACTAATCAAAACTGAAGTTTTAATATATATATGGTAAGAAATTTACAAAATATCTTCATGGAACATGATCTTTACTTAATATCCGAATTATTTTTGGCATAAAAGAATAGATAATAGAATAGATTAGATCATTTTGAACCATACAATATATTTTTGGCTATTGCTACAAATATACCCGTGCTACTTAAGACTGGTTTTGTGGTCCAGGGTCACATATGTATATATAATATTATAATGTATATATAAAATCATTGTTTTCAAACAGGTTTCCTTTTTGAAAGAAAACAATACCTTTATTTAGCATGTAATGCATTAAATTGAGCAACAGTGACAGTAACAGTGAAGAGATTTATAATATTTCTAAAGACATCATATCAATGCTGTTATTTTGAACCTTCTATCAATTAAAGAATCCTGAAAAAAATGTATCAAGGTTTTCACAAATATTTTAAGCAGGTTTCAACATTGATAATAAGAAATCAGCTATATTAGCATACTTTCTGAAGGATCATGTGACACTGAAGACTGGAATGGTGACTTGTGAAAATTCAGCTTTGCCACCAAAGGAGTAAATTACAGTTTTAAATATATTAATAGAAAATTGTTGTTTTAAATTGTAATAATATTTCACAATATAATTTTTTTACTATTAGTTTTACTGTGTTCCTGATCAAATAAATACATATTTGGTAAGCATAATAAAAAATGTAAAAATGTTAACGACCCCAAATATTTGAATAGTAGTGTTTACACCTACAAATGGTTTACTTTTATCCAGACTCAGACAGAATCGACTGACTTTATTTGCAATTTATTTTCAGATTTTTTGAGTAAAATCTGCAAAATTGTGCTAAATTAATTAAAACTATTTGATTTATTGTAAAATGTGTTTAAAAAAATCTTGTATAATATTACTTGCTGTGTTTCTTTGTTTGCTTGGTTTTTATTGTATTTATGTGATATTTGTATTTTGTAATTGAGTTTATGCCATGAAAGTAACCTCAGATGCTGACATGGCATTAATTAAAATTATACTATTACTGTAAAATGTGTTTACATTAATGGTGAAAAGCATTATTAAATTTAGTAAGATTCTAATTGTGATACTGCACATTAAATTGGGAATGTAGAAATATTTTAAAATTCAAACAATTGTACACTCAACCATCAACTGTAGTATTTAGTATCAGTGAAATCAATAGAATTCATTAGAAATCAATGTTACTTTAGTTTCTAGTGGATTGATTTGGTTTCAAGTAGATTTCAAGTAAATTGTCTCACTTAATAGGTTATTTATTACTAATATGCAACAAGTTTACCAAAAGGCTAGATTTACTATGGTAGATCATGAGGAACATTTGATTTGTTATTTTAAAAAATCAGTTAATATTTGTAGCTTTATTTTAATCTATTATAAAAATTTTGGTTACATTTACTTTTTTATGCACATTGAATGAGTGCCAAAATATTTTTCAGGCAATTCAAGCAGCACAGAAGGCGCATCAGGGTGATGTGGATGACCTAAATAAAATGGCTGAGCAAGTATTCCAGAAAGCGCCACCAGAGATCTGTCAGAAGTACCGGACCGAGCTGGACAACGTGATGGTGCGCTGGAGGCGTGTGTCTGAGCAGCTGGAAGAGAACATCCAGAAGCTGCAGGATCACATGACCAAATTACAGCAGTTCCAGGCACGTGCTGAAACAATATGCTGATGAGGCTTTTCCTCAAATTACACTGGCTCTAGTTTCTCTGTAGCAGACACACTTCACCTACAACACATCAGGGTGATGTGGATGACCTAAATAAAATGGCTGAGCAAGTATTCCAGAAAGCGCCACCAGAGATCTGTCAGAAGTACCGGACCGAGCTGGACAACGTGATGGTGCGCTGGAGGCGTGTGTTTGAGCAGCTGGAAGAGAACATCCAGAAGCTGCAGGATCACATGACCAAATTACAGCAGTTCCAGGCACGTGCTGAAACAATATGCTGATGAGGCTTTTCCTCAAATTACACTGGCTCTAGTTTCTCTGTAGCAGACACACTTCACCTACAACACGCCTGGGTGCTTTCCAAGAAAAATGTGCTTGAATGCAGGCACATGAAAATGTTGGCTGTGTCTCAACAACTAGTCAGCTGCCTACCCAGAGAGCTTACAAGGTTTTGAACTACATCCTTCAGAGAAGAGAAGTTTAATTGCTTAAAGGTTGCTGTTTTCTATCTCAGGTGATGATTCTTGGTTCAGTAGGAATTAAGCTCAATCAACAAGGATTTGTAACGTAATATAACTTGTCACTTGTTTTCTTTAAAAACAGCAGAAATCAAAGTTACGTTGAGACACTTACTTTGGAAGTGAATGAGAATTTTTTTTGGAGGATTTAAAAGCATACATATGAAGCTTGTAATTTTATAAAACATTTCACGTTCATTCTTTTATTAAAAACGTGAGTGTTATTTGACCTGTAAAGTTGTCCTCATCACTTTTAAGGTCATTCAAAGGTATTTCAACTTGGTTATACTGTAACTACACAGAAAGGTTAATACATGTTGTTGTTTTTTTACTAACATCATACTAACACACATATTGTTTATACCTTGTGGTGATAAATTTGAAACAGTGAGTATTTTAATGTTTGCAGATTCCATTTACAGGTCTCATTCACTTCTTTTTTTTCATCAACATTATTCCACAATTAGTGTTAATTGAGCTTAACTTGTTTTGAACCCAGAATATGACTTTAATGGAGTTAAATAAAATACCTTAAGAAGGTTGTGTATCATAAAAAACATACAAAAAAAAAAAACTGGTGGTAGCCAAAACATATTTAAAAAAATACAAAATTGCATAAAACTATCAGATCGCCTCACTTGAGTATGATTATCTAGTATGACTATACAAGATGTTTACCAAATTACCACATATACTACGGTTAGTAATAAGGAATATGTGTCATTTATTACTTTCAAAATAATAGAGGAATATTTGTAGATTTATTTGACAGTTATTGGTATTTTTTATTAAGCTTTTCTTAAATTCATATGGGTTGTGTAGTAGAAAATGTGACTGCATCTTCTGATAAAGTATAATTTCATCCAATGGTAGAATGACACAAAGACTCTGCAGAAGTGGATGGCAGAGGTCGATGTTTTCCTGAATGAGGAATGGCCAGCTCTGGGAGACGCAGAGGCTTTGGAGAAACAGTTGGAACAGTGCACGGTGAGGACAGTCATTATTTATTTAGCAATAAAAACTAAGTTTGTGTTCCAAACTAGAATAGAGCTCTTGATGCTATACTTATCTAGAGCAAGATGTGCTAAAATAACAACCGTGATCCAGAAACTTACCATTGTGTTTCACAAACATGGCCCAAAAATTTAAATTCAGAAGAGAGTGCTTTTTATGCAGAAGCAAAGCGTAGCCTAAATTAAAGCATTGGTCTGGAAGAAGAAGAGCTGTTTCTCATTAAGATGAAATCTGCAAAAATATGTTGGGAGACCTGCTAATATAGCCACAGCGGTGGTTGAATAAGCCGTAAACCCATTGGGACCTGACTCAGTAAAGACCTTGCCTTCTCTTTTCAGGCAATGGCAGGAAATAATTTTTCATTTTACTAGTCATGAAAACTGCAGCTTAACATGAAATTACATTTTTCAAGTGGTATCTCAGTCTTGTTGTGCCCCATGGTAAGTTAGCTGCAATAATGGCAATAGCTTTGCTTCTATCTAGTAGAATTGGGTCAATGCATTGGCATGACCTGGTTTTCAGGATGGCCAAGTCCATCTATTTCAAACATTCTCTTTTGATTTGCCAGGCTCTGGTGAACGACATCCACACCGTCCAACCAAGTCTGAACGGCATCAATGAGGTGGGACTGGCCTTGAAGAGGGAAGCTGAGACACCGTTTGCCATCAAAATACAGAAGATGCTTGATGAGCTCAATGCTCAGTGGGAGCTCATTTGCAAACAGGTAATTAACGGGCCACTTGGGCTTACGGTGCATTATATTAATTAATTACAAGGTGAGGTAGAATTTAGTCATCTTCAAAAGTCTACGCAAACCATTTTCACACCTAGGCAATTTCTAAGTGAAACTTTTTGATGTTATTAGAGCATTTTCAGGTAGTCATTAAAACAAAAATGAACTGTGTTTTTTGTTGATCCTCAGGCTTATGCAAAGAAATCAGCCCTGAAAGGAGGGCTGGACATGACGGTGAGTTTGAGGAAGGAGATGCAGGAAATGCAGGAGTGGATCACTCAGGCGGAGGAAGAGTATCTGGAGCGAGACTTCCAGTACAAAACACCTGAGGAGCTTCATAAGGCAGTGGAGGAGCTAAAGGTTTGTTCTTTTTAAACTTGTTTCTTCAGAGGAAAATGGCATCATTTAGAAAACGTAATGGCGTTGTCAGTGATGTCTCTTTTAAGTATAACATCTTAAATGGAAAAGAAAAACGGAAACAATTGTAGACATACGGGAGTACAGAGGTAAAATGATTTATTAAAAAAACACTGTTAACAAAATGTGGGATATGCTCAGAGTTTTAAATGCTTGTTTTTGTGATAGAGTTTTTAGTTATTTTCTACCTATGGATTGATGGATGGATGGATAGATAGATAGAACGTGTTACACAGCTACACGTTACACACACGTTTTTTGGACTGACTAACTATGAATTAATTAAATTCACTAAAAAAATTTATTTGTACAAAGAACATATCAATTGACTGAATTATGTCAAAAATACGACATTTACGATATGATTTTTATTGTTGGATACCCCAAGAAGAACAGGACCATTGAGGTGGAACAAGCCAAAATCAACATGTTAACAGGGAGACAGACATTGTTTGACTACTTTTCATGCTGTGTTAGTTTTATGTTCGATAATAGCTTATCTAACGCGTCTAATCTCACTAGAGAACATGGGATTTGTGCCTTTATTGCTTTTAACAACAGTCAAGGGACACCAATTTGTACCCCATTCATTGAAAGTGCCAAGTCCCCAAAGTTGTTGTTCTACTGAGAACAAAGTGTCAGAGAAGCTCCCCAGACAGTTGTCATGATCGCAGAAGACTGACACCTAGACAACTGAGATATATTCATTTCCTAACAGGTGCCGGCTCGGTGCACAGAAGCTTTTCGCCTCGATGTGGTCCTGTTGCTTTGTGCATTTTATGAAGTAAATGGGGCGAATGTTTGCTCTCAACTTCCCAAGTTCAACGACAGTCAACAGCAGGGATCTTGTTTTCTCTGTCCCAGTGCCAGGCTTAGCTTAACTTTGCAAGCAGAGGCTTAAGAGAATGCTGATGTTCACTAACCTTGGTAAAAACATCTGAATGCTCACGTAATCTCCTCTCCTCTCTCCCACTCAGCGGGCTCAAGAGGAAGTCCATCAAAAGGAAACAAAGGTGAAGCTACTGACGGATAAAGTCACTAATTTCATTTCAAAGGCTCCTCCAGCTGCCCATGATGCCCTGAAGGCAGAACTGGATGTTTTGACTTCTAACTACCAGCGACTGTGTAGCCGGCTCGATGGAAAATGCAAGACTTTAGAGGTGAGCTTGATATTGTGCCAGTGATGGGGTTGTGCTCAGGAGTCAGATAGTGATTAATTTGGCTTTCATCCACAGGTTTACATTTTATCAGTGTGTGTGTGTGTGTGTGTGTGTGTGTGTGTTTGTGTTCCCTGGGAATCAAACCCATGACTTTGATGTTGCTAGCACCAGGCCCTTTCAGTTCAAACTACTAATGTGGTTCTTCTCACCTTTGATCAAATTCTCAGGACCCAGGCCCAATGTGATATGTTTGACTAACCACATGCCCATTTCTGCTGGCTGTTGTAGGAGGTGTGGGCATGCTGGTGTGAGCTGCTGTCTTATTTGGAGTTGGAGAATGCCTGGATGGACCTACTGGAAAAGAAAATTGATGAAACAGAAAGCCTTCAAGGAGGTGTAGAGGAAATAGAAGATGCTTTGACTGTGAGTGCTGAAAATCTTTAATATGAACTTCAGAGATATAATGAGACTGTTTACTAAAAGAGGAAGCATATTCATATATAGGTAACTTTATGTTATTTTAAAGGAAGGATAATTATAGGTTATTTTAAAGAAGTAGTTTTTGGTCTGGTCTTCACGAAAGGATATTATGTGGTTTTATGTTTGAATCGTATGCTCTATTCGTCCTTTTTATAGCTTGACAGCCTGTAGTCACTATGACCCGTTGACGTTAAAAGAGCTGTGTAAATACATTTCCTTTTGCGTTCCACTGGAAAAATAAGAGCAGACAGGTTTAGTATGACATTAGCCTGAGTAAATGATGACACCGTTTTCATTTTAGGTTAGAGTTTGACTTGGAAAGGTCATTCTGTCCCAGAGGAACATTTTATTGTTTAGAGGTTACTCTTTCATATTGCAGGACACCGACTTAAATGCCATTCTTGTTGGAGTTTCCACTTTGTCTCAGATGTTTCTCAGATGATTATTGATGATCTTTTCTGAAACTCTAGAGCAGTGTTTCCCAAACAGGGGTTTGTGAGGGAACTGCAGGCGGTTTGCGAGTTGTTGAAAAGAAAATACTTAAAAATTTAAATTTAAATGGAAAATTTAAATAAATAAATGGGGCTGCAAAATTAATAATATAAAACTGATATCACAATATTGTTTATGTATATAGATATATAGATACATACAGTAGATACAATTTTCATATGAGATAAAATGTAATATCACAGTTCACATTTCAATCACAATACATGACAAAATAAACCCAATATATTTTTGGCCAAGTTGTGCAGCCCTGGACATTTTATTATAATTTTTTTTTTTTAAAGACGTACTAAAAATGATTAAGTATTGTATTTGTTTACTTGCGTGTGATGTGACCATTAACTGACATCAGAGAACTGTGAACATGCGAATGTGCTGTTAAATAAAAAGTTGAAATATTAACTTTTTAATTTTTAGCGGGTACTTCAAGTAAATATTTTACATCTAAGGGGTTCAGCTGACCAAAACGTTTGAGAAACCCCTTCTCTAGAGGTTATACACTGATTTACTCAGGAGACCAGGAAACTAAACTGAGAAGTAGGAGACTCTAGCTAAACAATTTTGTTTTGACTTTAGCTACCAATTGGTTGCCTAGGAGAATTTGAGATATTAAATAGATCTCATTTGTTATTTTTCTTTACTAATATATGCACTGATAATGATAAAATAGTCATACCAAAAATTCAATCTTGCATCATCACCATGGAAAGCATCTTTTATTAAGTTTTATGTTTTCAAATGACATATAAATCATTGGTGTTAAAGTGGTTTCCCCATTCCCTTCCAGTCTTTAGACACCATGATTAGGGAGCATCCTGAGTATAACCGCAACCAGATCCGTGAATTAGCCCAGACCCTTATGGATGGCAGAGTCCTCGATGAGCTCATACACAAAAAAGTGGAGGACTACAACACACGCTGGGATGAACTAATGCAAAGGGTAGGAACTTAAGATGACTCAGTTGTATAGCTGCAGCTGAAACCTTAAGTATATTCATTGGATTTTTTTTCATGTTTTGATTCTCTTCCGCTTTCTGGTGTCAATAAAAGGCTTTACAAAGGCGACAGCAGCTGGAGAAGAGCTTGCAGTGGGCCCAGGAGAACGACAAAACCCTGCGCCTCATTCAGGACTCTCTGAACACCACTGACCGACATTTGACTGCTTACATAGCAGATGGCATAGACGCTGCACAGATACCTCAGGAGGCACAGGTATTCATATTATCTCATATATGTGCCAAATAAACATTTATTTTATTTTATTCTTTCTTTACATTATCTTTATTCATTCTGACAAATCGTTTGTCCTATGTATAGTGTCATCGATTCCTATTTATAATTTATTATTTATTTATTTTTATTTACACATAACATCTTTTTAAAGAACTTTAATTTAATGAATTTTGTATGGAAAATTATAAAACGGATAGTTCCGGTTCCATAAGGGCCAGAATATCATATCATAGGGTGTGAGCTCTTTTGACTTGAATAAATTAAGTATCCATAGTATTCTGTTTATTTATTTAATTAGTTATTATTTAAAGATGACTATGATTGCCTTATTATTATCTCATTTAACAGAAAATTCAGACTGAGTTGAATGGTCATGAAGTGACTCTCGATGACATGAAGAAAAAGGCTGTCGAGGTTGACGCATCAGAGAAAGTGATTGGAGAGATTGATGCAACATATGTAAGAATTATAATTTTCGATAGCTGATTTTTTTTTGTCACAGTCACAGATCCTTCCTGTATAAATACGTTAAGCAAATAATAAACAAGTTATCAAATACCTGTTAACAAATGCCTGTTTTCTGTGTGCTTGTTTAGGATAAATTATTGCAAGTGAAAGGCAAGTTCAGGCTTTTCCAAAAGCCGGCTAACTTTGATCAACGGTTGAGGGAATGTGAGCGAGTGTTAGAGGAGGTGAAAGGAAAGCTGGGAGTGCTGAGTATTCGGAGTGTGGAGCAGGAGGTGGTACAGTCACAGTTGGATCAGTGCATGGTGGGTAATAGCTTTTATTCTTCTTTTTTTTTACGAGTACATTAATTTGTTAATGCATGAATAGTTGTGGAGATTGAACTGATTACTTCATACTGTATGAAATTTGTTCAAATTCAATTCTTTGTTTTGTTACATTTCTCATTTTAATTGTAGTTTTTGTTTTAATATAAATTGCCGTTTGGTTCTTGTCAGGTAGCAATATCACACTGAGTTTAATCACATTCTCTATTTCCCCCATGTAGAAGTTCTATAAGAATCTGAGTGAAGTGAAATCGGAGGTGGAGGCGGTGATAAAGATGGGAAGACAGATTGTGCAGAAGCAGCAGACAGAGCAACCCAAGGAGCTGGACGACAGGCTGACGGCCCTCAAACTCGCGTACAATAATTTGGGTTCGCAGGTAAGGGAATACAAAGCTAAATGTAAGACGTGTACAGTACTAGTTTGATGCAGATACTCATTGTATATTGTTACTGTTTCTCATTTAAGGATAATAGTAATATCATCAAAACCATGAAATTACACAAATGAAAGTATGCAAATTATGTTAAAATAAAATAAAAGTATCTTTTATAGAAGTTTATTCACATTACCGTAAAAAGGTTTTTTTTATTCAGTAAGGATGCATTCAATTGATCAAAAGTAACAGTAAAAACATTTAGAATGCAATAAAAAGATTTTTGTTTCAAATAAATGCTGTTCTTTTATGTAGTAACTATCTTTGAGATAGTTTCCATTTATGCTGAACATTTGTTGGCTGATTTTCCAAACGTCTCATTTGTAGCTAAATGTAAGACGTGTACAGTACTAGTTTGATGCAGATACTCATTGTATATTGTTACTGTTTCTCATTTACGGATAATAGTAATATCATCAAAACCATGAAATTACACAAATGAAAGTATGCAAATTATGTTAAAATAAAATAAAAGTATCTTTTATAGAAGTTTATTCACATTACCGTAAAAAGGTTTTTTTTATTCAGTAAGGATGCATTCAATTGATCAAAAGTAACAGTAAAAACATTTAGAATGCAATAAAAAGATTTTTGTTTCAAATAAATGCTGTTCTTTTATGTAGTAACTATCTTTGAGATAGTTTCCATTTATGCTGAACATTTGTTGGCTGATTTTCCAAACGTCTCATTTGTTTGTGTGCAGGTAACAGAAGGAAAGCAAGAACTGGAGAAGCTTTTAAAGTTATTAAGGAAGTTTAGGAAGGAAGTAAACAGTCTGACAGAATGGTTGGCAACTACTGATGAGGAACTGACGCGCCGCTCATCAGTGGAAGGCATGCCAAGCGATTTGGATGCAGAGTTGTCTTGGGCGAAGGTAAATGAATACTCAGCTGGTTTCATTTCAGCAGCATTGTTTATATCTGAAACAGTTTGCTAGTCATTAAAAGATTAGTTCTTCCAAAAAATGACAGTTCTGTTATCCATGTTTTTCCACACTTAAAATGCCTTTCAGTGGAAAGGCGAATTGTTAGCGAATTGTTCGTTTATTATCAGTGCTGTGTTGTTTCCAAGAAGGTGGGTGTGTTGAAGAAAAAAAGTTACTTCGTTTTTGAAAAGAAAAGCTCAAAAACAACCTATTAAAACATTATCTTTCCCACCCAGGTGACGCAGGAGGACACTGAGCGTCATAAGCCACAGTTGAAACTGGTGAGGGAGTTGGCAGAGACCCTGAAGGGTTTACTTTGTAGCCAGGAGAACCTTATTGATGACAAGGTCAGTCTGCTCAACTGCAACTGGATCGCAGTGACGTCACGGAGCGAGCAGTGGCTGAAACTCCTGCTGGTGAGCAACCATTCAGAGCAACTGTCTGACCCTTTTCTGAGTCATTTCATTTTAGGCAAAATATCTCTTATGCTAAATATGCCCTACAAGGCTAAATTCATTTCCTTTCAATTCCACATCTCCTGGTTGTTCCTTAAAATCCAGACAGTGATTTCTGGAGGCGGCAATAATGTTATGAAACTGTTAAGCACATTTATCTCCCGCTCTTCTTTATTACCTTTTCTACTACTTGCTGTATCCTCCATCATTTTTCTCATCTTTTATCTCCTTGACTATATTTTCTTCTTTTTCTACTTTGTAAATAACTTTATACAAATCTGAGGGACAATATGTCAAAAGATGAGGCTTGGCCTCAAAGGTATAATGAAGTGATTAAACAAATATTTCACCCAAATTGAAAATTCTATCATTGTTTTCTAACCCACACATGTCATTCTGAACCTGTATGACGTACCGTACCTTCTATCATGAAACACAAAAGGATTTCACTTTTCACTTTTTTCCCATTCAGTTGAAGAGAGACTTTTTCATGCTTCATAATGGACATAAGAGTGTCATTAAACTGATCAGTGCATCTCATACACTGAGTCTTATGAAGTCGTAAGATGGAATTTTGTTGCAAAAGCATCATAAAAGGATCAAGAAAGTGGTCCATGTGACTTTGCACTATATTTCACTATAGCTACTATTGAAAAAGGCATGAAAAACAATCTTCAAATGTTGTTTTTTGTGTTCAGCAACAGAAAGAAAGTCATACAGATTTGGAACAACACGACAGTGAGTAAATAATGACAGAATGTTCATTTTCTGGGTGAACTATTCATTTAATGTGACATGACATTTCAAAACCCTGTTCCTGAACAAATTTCCTTGTGCTAACCACTGAAGCCAAATGTAAACGTAACTCTCCATCTGTCATCCAGGATTACCAGAGTCAAATGAAAACATTTGAGCAGAACATTTCTCAGATCAACACCTGGATGGATTGTGCTGAAGAAGTGCTGGACGAGATGGACAGCCAGGGCTGCGTTGAGCACGTTTTAAAGGTCTTCACTAGCACAATATCAGACACTCACAGTGAGCTGTTCCACTTGACAACCAACTGTTCTCCATTATTGAGGACTAGATTTTGTTTTATGCAGCCATACTTTTCCATCAAATTAAATAAACAGTTATCCATCACTTCTATGACAATAATGTTTTGATGGCTCATTAATTGGAAGCAATTTGCAGCAAATAAAACTTTAGATTAGGCCATTAGGGAGAACAAAACAGACTTGAAAAGACTTGTATTATTGAACATAATTTCTGTTATCATTTACAAAGTAAATATATATCTTTTACAACTTACTACCAAAATATTTACATCAGTAGATTTTAATTTTGTGTATTTTGAAGTTTTAGAAGTTTTATGATGGATAATTTTGAATGCATTTTTGAGTGAAACAAGACAGGCCTTGTAGGATAGGCCTTGATTTAATTTTTTATTTATTTTTTGGTGTATATTCAAAATGCACACACAATTGATGTGTTTTTTGAATGTCCAGGGTTTGCGGATGGAGCTGGAGGAGATGAAGGGGAAGGTTGAAGCAGTGCAGGTTCTGGCAGAGGACCTTGTAAAGAACAGAGGGGAACATTGTAAAGCTCAAGTGAAACCAAAGCTAGAACAGCTCAGTCGACGCTTTGACATCGTCGCAAAGAGGATTTTAACGTGTTTTTTTTGTTGTTTTTTTTATCAGAGTAAAATTAGCAAATTAAATGAGACACATTTGTTCTCCATCCTTGTATGTTCAGGAGCTGCAGTTCTTGCTGCAGTTTATCGCTGAAAACGAAGCTCTGATGAACTCTCCTGAGTGCTGGTCTACAGCATTCATCAACGTTTCCCAACAAGAGAAGTGCCTCAAGGTTATATCATAAACCATGTCTCATTTCTACAAATGATTTTGATTAACCAATGCGTTTTTCTATCCATGAGCTTATTCGATCTATTATTGATTTACTCATGAGCTGTACATGAACACAATTTGTTATACTCCCACCACCGAAACAGCAGTAAAACTAATGTAAATGCTTTCATCGGTTGTGTTACATGTGATCTAGGAAGTTAAAGTTAATCTGGATAAACTGGAGAGTCCAGTGATGGAGGCTCTGAGCAGGGGTGCCTCTCTTCCAGAGGACAGTTTACTGGTCCAGCTGCTCAGAACCAACTGGGAAAACCTTAAAAAGCTCTATCATGACAGATTCACGTAAGGATGAATAACATCACATTGTTGAAATGTGCCTTGCCACTTAAAGAAGTCAATAGGAAAATAGCATGTAATTAAATAAGAGAGGTGTTTAGAGGTTATATTAACATCGTGTTAAATGCACTGTACTTGCATGAATATGATGAAATGCATGTGCATGCAGAAGAATATGATGTATAAATTGACTTTACTAATTAGTGTTATTTTAGTATTATTTATATATTATTATAGTATTTATTAATATTTTGCATTGCCTTTTATTTTTATATTTTCAGTCTTCATTTTAGTTTTAGTAATTTTGTTGTATGCTTTTGTCATTATTATTTTTGTATATTTATGTTAAGCTTTTATTTAAATTTTAGTAATTTAAGTACTTCAACTTATTTCATTTAGTTGCAAAGGCAACATTTTTAATTTGAGTTTGTACGTTTTTTTTATATTTATATTTTATTTTATTTCAGTTAACGGAAACATCATTTGATAGTTAAAAAAACTTTTGCTAACATATTATCTATGCAATATACTAGTCATAAGTAGAGGAGTCATTCTAAATGAGCTGTTAATTAGTCTAGGTGGTAACACTTTACAATAAGTTTCATTAGTTAACATTAGTTAACTACTTTAGTTAACATGAACTAAGCATGAACAATACTTCTACAGCATTTATTAATCTTAACATTTGATAGTTAAAAAAACTTTTGCTAACATATTATCTATGCAATATACTAGTCATAAGTAGAGGAGTCATTCTAAATGAGCTGTTAATTAGTCTAGGTTAAGTATTAACAAAATAAACCACAGAAGTGTTTTTGAGTTCTTTATAACTAAATTATGTTTAAATTAACTTTTATTTCAATAGATTTTGCAGTTTAAATCAAAATATATATTTTTTTCTGTAAATTCTCTCTCTTTACTCTCTGACTCACAATGTTCTGTTTGTCTACTTGTGCTGCTGTCCAGACGCCTTGAAAAATCCAAGAAATTCAGTGAGGAGCATAAAACGCTTGACAGTTGGCTCACAGATGCTGAGAGGACGATAGTGAAGTATGAACAAGACCCCATAAATAATAGAGACCACCTCAAGGTAATCATAAATTTAATCTGTGGCTACGATTGTATTATTTAAATATAAAGTAATATATAACAAATTGAATTGTGTATAATATATTAAGACTACTGTTTAAGGGATAGTCCACTGGAAAATGAAAATTCTGCTTACTCTCTTACTCATCCTCGTGTCCAAACGAAAATACCAAAGACAAAAGAAAATATGTTGAAGAATGTTGGTAACTTAACAGTCTCGGTTCCCATTGACTTCTATCGTATTTTTTGTTAATCTCATGGAAATCAATGGAAACCGAAACTGTTTGGTTACCAACAATCTTTAAAATATATTCTTTAATGTTTCACTGAATTAAAGAAAGTCATACAGGTTTGGAACAATATGAGGTTGAAGAAATAATCACAGAATTTTAATTTTTGGGTGGATTACTCAAAAAATTATTAACGATAATAAATCATTATATACAGGTTTCATAGAAAGTGATACCAGATTTTTGTAGGCAGTGTCATGTTAGATTAGTTTCAGACCATCCATACTGCGACATTCTACTGTCCCAGGAGCTCCAGGGGGGTTTGGAGAAACAGGAAGCAGCAGTGAAGGGGCTCAATGCTCTTGGGACAGATCTGACTCCACAGTGCAGTAAGGACGACAGGGACCACATTAAACAGCAGCTTGTCTCTATCAACTCCCGCTGGGCCAAAGTGTCCAACCAGCTCACTGAGATCAAGAGACGGTTAGTAAAAATTCAGGACATATAAATGCAGACAGCTTGTTAGAGTGCCGCACACGTTTGAATATCTTAGCATAATTCAATTTGAGCAGCAAACACCTATATAATTGCCCTCTTTTGTCCTTATTTTGAAAGAATGCATACACTGGGTATAGAAAAAAAAACACTCCCCTTTAAAATAATCACATTTTGTTGCTTTGCAGCCTCAAATGAAGTCTTTTGTCCTTATTTTGAAAGAATGCATACACTGGGTATAGAAAAAAAACACTCCCCTTTAAAATAATCACATTTTGTTGCTTTGCAGCCTCAAATGAAGACAGACACAGTTTTTGTTTTATCCAACTGTATTTACTCAGTGCAATTTATAACATCCAAGTGAAAGATATAACACCAACATGTCAGAAAAAAAAAAAAAAACAAAACACTGAGTTGGAAAAAGGATCACCCCCTCCTAAAAATGACTCGTAAACTCAATCAGGTGTAGCTATTCACCTTCTCAATGGCACATAAAGGCCCAGTCCACACGGAGACGTGTTTAGCTGTATGCTAAATATATATAAATATATACATTTTGTATCGTATAGGCGTTTCGTCCACACGGATCTGCCGTTTTGGGAGTGTGAAACCGATATTTTTTTAAACCTGGTCCCAGAGTGGATAAATCTGAAAATGCCGCCCTTGCATTTTTGTGTGGACAGTGAATCCGTATATTTTCTGAAACGATGACGTCATCAGCCCACGTCTCGCCCCTAGTCAGACACCACTACATCAAGTAACACTGAACGATTGTCTTTTTATTAACTAACATTAGCACAGATTAATAAATGTATTGTTCCATGTTCGTTTGTGTACCGCGCGCAAGGTTTATGCTAGAGATGGGCGTATCGATCCGAAGTATCGATATATTGATACTGACTCGAGTATCAAAAGTATCGATACTCAAACAAAAAATATCGATACTAAGGTGTGTTTTATTTACCAGTGGTTTTGTTTATTTAACAAAAATAATAATAATAATGCATACAATATGCATTGAATTGGACGAAT